TTTGCTATGAGTTTTTAAGTTCCATTTCTTTATGAGGTACAAAGTGATAATCCTCCTTGGTGAAATCTGAAAGCACTTTCCTTCTATTTTAATGATTATTTTCCAAGATGTAAGTAATCTTTCATCTCTCTGATGCTGGGATATAGAAGATAGGACTGGTCAAGGAACAGTAGGAAGTATTTGGGACAATCCTGTGACTTCTGGAAGGCTATGGAGGGAAAGACCACGAGAAGGAAGAACAAAGGATCACGGACAGTCCTGTTTCCACCCTGAGACCTCACTCCTTTTGTTTGGTACCACCAGCCCTCTGGCCAGTATGTTCCTTCCAATCACAGCTATCACTTTACCTGGTGACAATGGATCCTGCAGGGCTTCTGCTCATAGAAGTTCCCCCAAACCACCCTTCCCTTATTCTAATCAATGCCTTTGGTGTATCCCAAAACACGCCATGCAAAATATCTTTCTGTAACCAAAACCTATAGGTAAAAAATCTGTCCTACCAGATGTCATGATAAACTATAAAGCTTTAGTAATTAGGAGAATGTAGCTTTGGCTCAGGGACAGACTCATAGAGCTTGGGGAAGAATAGGGAGACCGGGATCAGACCTTGCATGGATGGGCCCTCGATTTTTGAGAGGCAGCAGTTCTGAGCAGTGAAGAAAGGATGGTGTTTTCAACATAAATTGCCTAGGGTTGTGGCTCTATTCATAGGACTTTATATATGATTATGAAACCATTTGATATTATCTGGTGAAGTTAGAGTTTAAAACCCACAGTGGAGAAATTTTGGCACACAAGGATCTATCAAAAATGTTCAAAGCACCCTTATGGGTAATGGCCAGTTGCTGTGGTCTGCATGTTTGTGTCCCTCCAGAATTCAGATGTTGAAATCCTAACCCCCAAAGTGATGGTTAATAGGAGGTGGGGCCTATGGGAGGGGATTAGGCCATGAGGATGGAGCACTCATGAATGGAATTAGTGCCCTTATAAAATAGATGTCACAGAGCTCCCTGATTCCTTCCACCCTGACCCAGAAGAGGACCCTCGCCCGGTCATGCTGCCATCCTGATCTCTTAACTTCCAGCCTCCAGAGCTGTGAGCAATACATTTCTGTTGTTGATAAACTACCCAGGCAGTGTTGTTTCATTATAGCTGGACATGTCATGAATGACTACAGCAGCATGTCAACTGTTGATGAGAAGCACAAAAATAACATCAAGGAAACAAAGCAGGTCACACGAAGCATAGTAAATATGCTAGGATTCCATTTACAGGAAGCTCAAAAACAAATGGGCCCAATTCAAAAATGGGCAAAGGACTGAAGAGACAGTTCTCTAAAAGAAGGTATACAAATGGCCAGTAGGCATACAGTTATCAGGGAAATGCACATCAACACCATAATTTAAAAGGCAGATAATAGCAGTATTGGAGGGAATTGGATTGGAACTCTCATACACTGCTGGTGGGAATGTACAATGGTGCAGCCACTTTGGAAAACAGTTGGTAATCTCTTAAGGTATGATCCAGCAATTCCATTCCTAGGGGTATATGCAAGGGAAATGAACACCTATGCCCACACAAACACTTGTAGACAAATGTTCATAATAGTATTATTTGTAATGGCCCCAAAGTGGAAATAGTCCAAATGTCCATCACTGATCAACAGATTTTTCAAATGTGGCATATCCATAAGGTGGTATGTTATTCAACAATAAAAAGAAAGTATGAATACATGCTACTCTATGGACAAACCTTGGAAACCTTATGCTGTGAGGAAGAAACCAGTCACAAAGGACCATATGTTGTAGGATTCCATTTATATGAAATGTCTAAAACGGAAATATCTATGGAGACTGTCAGCACATTAGCAGTTGCCTATGGTAGGAAAAAGAGATAGGGGTGGTAGGGGAGTAAGGAATAACTGCTGATGGGCATGGGTTTCCTTTCAGGATAGGGAAAATGTTCTAGAATTGATTGTGAAGATAACTGCACAACTCCTTGAGCATTTTAAAAACCATGGAAATTGTACACTCTAGATGGCTAAATTGTATGGTATGTGAATTAGATCTTAATAAGGTTCTTTTTTTAAAAAACAAACATAAAAACTGAATAATGTATGAATCAAAGGGGCATATTATGGGGTAAAATGATAAAGTTAACCAAGGTATCACAAGAGTAGGAGCTCTGTGACCTCGGGAGAAAAGAAATATCAAAGAACAATTCACATGGTATTCTTTTAGGAAAGCGTCTACTGGGGCGCCTGGGTGGCTCAGTCGGTTGAGCATCCAACTCTTGATCTTGGCTAAGGTCTTGATCTCACCATCATGAGTTCGAGCCCCGTGTTGGGCTCTGCACTGGGTGTGGAACCTACTTAAAAACAAAAACAATAACAAGCAAACAAAAAAGAAAATGTCTATATAGTGAGATGAGAGCAAATAAGATAAATAAATAACTCCAGCCTTCCTGGGAAGACAGAGCCACGTGCCACCCCTCCTGCTTCCTTCTGCTGTGAATCACAGAGCAGGCTGGGCATGCAGTGTGGAGTGCGGGGCAGCCCCTCCTCATCCCAGGGCACCCACACCCTGAAAACACACCTACACCTGCGCGTACTGCTCCCTTCCTTCCGCACAGATGGAGGGCCAGGCCAGAGCTGGAGCTGAGCACCCTGTTGTTTTCAGAACCCCTGCCACCGCTCCTCAGTGCCACTGGGCCAGCTCCTCAGCCTCCAGTCTCGACACCTGTGTTTTCCCCAACCATGTTTAAAAATGCCCTTCCTGAGAATAACAGTGTCCTTTGGGCCCCCTGCGCAGGCACCTCCCCTGGACCCTTGGGTTTCCCACCTGCTTCTCACGGTGGCACCCTGGGCTCTCTGCATTGTTCAAGGTTCTCAAAAGAACATATTTTGTGGAGATGGTTAGGACATTTCACATTTTCCAGAATTCCTTTACTTCACATGCTGCCCTGATATTGCACTCTTCTGTGACAAACATTCTGATTGTGGGGGCAAAAGCATATATGCTGACTTCCCAGCCAGGGCCAGAAGGGGGGTGTGCTTGGGTGGGATGTCACAGAGGAGACAGGGGCTTGTGGGGAGGGGGTGGGGATTAAAGAAGTGAGGGGGAGGGTTCACAAGGGAGTACGTGGCAGATACAGGAGGTGGGGGGAAATCACAAGCACCTCGCTTGCTGTGCTTACTCCAAGAGTGACCCTTGGGGCACAGTTGGGTTGGAAAGTCTTCGACTTGATCCTCTCCCTACCAAAACTCAGGGCTCCAGCTCCCCTCCTAGCCTAGTGGTGCCCTTGCCTAAGCTCAGAGCCCTTCCCCATGGCCTTGAACACCAGGACAAAGGGCAGGAGAGGAAGTCAGTGCCCATCTATCTCTTCCACACTCCACCCTCCTATCTTGGACATGGGGTTCTGGCTTTATAAGAATTCCTGTCCCCTACCCCACAGGGCACACTCCCTCCAAGGCCTGTAGATGAGCAGACAGCCACCAGAGGACTGAAGACATCTCTTCCAGAGTGGAGGCATCCTCTCTCGAGGTTGGGCTTTCAGCTTCCTTGATCTCGAGTCCAGCTGGAGAACTGTGCAAAAGACAGAATGAGCGGCGGATGCCGGCCAGGCTGGGGAAGGACAGGAGGGAAGTTCCAGGTCGGTCCATAATCAAGAAGATCATTCCCCCCACCTTTTCTTTTTCTTCTTGGGGGCATAGAGTACAAAATTCCCAGCCTTTTGCAATGGTCAGTGGGGGCTCCAGTGTAGACAGAGGGATGGTCCTCAAGGAGACCCAAATCCCACTGCAGGGACTGGACTGCAGAGGATGGTATTGGTGCCTACTTTTGGACTCAGTCTAAATTCCAGAAAATAAAAATGGACCTTAAGGAAGCTGACCTGTATGGCTAAAAAATCATTGTCAGAAAGAAAACTTCAATAAATTTTTTTAAAACTTCAATAAATTTTAAATGCACAATATTTATGCAAGCCAAGTAAATCTAAGGAGAGCAAAAAGGCCCTGAAGCTCCCCACCTCCCTGTGAGCGCTGCCTCGGCCTGCTTGAGAGCCTGACAACCTGGCCTGGAGGCTGCGCAGGTGGCCTGGAGAGGTGACTACTTGGGGAGGGGGTTTGGAGGAAGTAGTGCCATCTTACAGAACCCAGGACAAAGGAGGAAAAGTGGGCCACATGGCCCGAAGGGTGAACCACTCCTTGAGTCTTACCTCAGCTTCTGACCCATGTACTAGGTCCATCTGATAGGTCAAGTTAGACATCCCTCCACCCTCCCAGGAGGCAGCAGCCTGAAGCAGAGCCTGGCCCCAAGCAGCAGTTTCCAGATGACTCTTGGGACCCACCCCACTTAGGGTCCCCAGAAACGGCAGGGCTGTGGAAAGGCCTGAAAGGCACCAGAGAGGTTCCCTGTACAGGTGGGACCATAATTCAGTGAGGGGTGGCCATGATATTCCTGTGTCCCACTCATGTCCCCAGAGTGAGGCCAAGGCAGAGGGAAACCTGGTGTGGGCTACAGTGGTGTACTTTCTAAACAATGGAGTAAAGAGGCTGATGCCTTTTTTTCATCATAGGTACTTTTAACACTTTAAAAAAAAATTTTTTTAGAGAGAGAGAGAGGCGGGGGGCAGGGCAGAGGGAGAGAGAGAGAATCTTAAGCAGGCCCCAAGCTCAGCGCAGAGCCCCACTCGGGGCCTAATCTCACAACCCTGAGATCATGACCTGAGCCAAAATCAAGAGCTGGATGCTCAACCAACTGCACCACCAAAGCGCCCCTCACCATAGGTACTTAAAAAAAAAATACTTGTTTACTTCCAGTTGTGCCACTTTTAATTATACCCTAACTTTGCATTTGCCTCTTTTCTTTGCTGGAAATCAAAGTTCAAATCCTCTTTGGTATTGCTACCAACCCCAGTGCCCCAAGTCCTGCTCAGTGTAACCCCTTCTGGGGTGTGTCTCTCTAGGCCCGTCCTTACACTTTATATATATAAATTCCTTTTTTCTTTTTAATGGAGAAGTGTCATCTTATTTTATTATTACTAATGTAAGCATTGATGCCAAAGAAATGAAGGTAATTTTACAAATGCAGAATGTTTGCAAGTACATAAAATTTCCATTTTATTGTAGTTTTCCACCACTCTAGTTCAAATGCATTTCTCTACAACTACTTCAACATAACTCCTTTGGAATTATTTCAGTCATCCTTAACATGTGACTCTGCCAAATACTTTGAATCTAAAATAAACATATAAAATTGTAATTATTAACTTCTAGATGAATGGGGTAAGAAAGTTATCAGGTGATGGCTGGGACTGTTAATTTCCAAGAAGAAACTGTGTTGAAATGTTTCTTCTGATACAGTAGTTATAAATTAGAATTTTCAAAAAACAAGGGCAGAACAAAAGTACAATAAAAGAAACTTCTGCAGCTTAAGGCTCCCATAGTCCTAAACCTCTGAGAGAAGCAAGGCAAAGCAATTTTCCTGCAATTTAAGTGGGTTTCTAGTATTTCCATGTAGTTGAGCTTTCAGAGATAGATGCTCACAACGTATCATTAATGCATATATATCATCTTGGCTCTGGTTGTATTAATTATGCCTGAAGAGTTTAATACCCATCCAGGTCCAAAGGTGGAAGAACACAGAAACTGGTATGGTAATGGGCAGGAGCAGACCGTGAAAGCACAAGCTGGTTGTGTTGGTGCAGCCCTGTGGGGAGTTTTCTTCCACGGAGGCTGCCAACAGTCCCGCTAGAGATACCAACGGAATGAGGGCAGTCACTGTAGGAAGAGACAGAAACATTCTTCTCCCCCACTTATTACCTGCCACTCTTTTAAAAACGTAAGTGGTATTAAGAAAATCTAGTCTGTGGGATGCCTGTGGGTGGCTCAGTCAGTTAGGCGTCTGCCTTGAGCTCAGGTCATGGTCCTGGGATCGAGCGCTGCATGGGGCTCCTTACTCAGCTGGCAGCCTGCATCTCCCTCTGCCCCTTCCCCTGCTCATGCGCTCTCACTCTCTCAAATAAAATCTTTAAAAAGAATTTCGTTGTGTGTGTTGTGGTTTTTAATTATGATCTAGTGCTGCTCCATTTCTTCTTGCTTCTTATTTTAATGTGTCCTCCTAGCTGCCTGTGGTATCATATTAGGGATCCCATCAATAATGGGATAGGCTATTCCCAACTCTTCATTAATCAGTTCATTTGCCGATGTTTCATATCTGAGTGGCTTCTTGGGAGAGCGGGTGCACAGGAACTCAAGCAGCGCCTGGTCGAAGGCGCAGGGCGGGTCCCTGGTCCTCTTGCTCTTGTCTGTGGACGGCCGTGACCCCGAGGCGAGAAGGCATCTACGGGTGCCCACGAACCATGGTACACGTGGACCCCACAGCGCAGAGGCGAGGACAACCGCATGCTCCACTCAGCATGCATAGTCTGGCAGGCCACAAGCACCAAGCTCGGTGCCTTCAGCCAGCCAGGCTGCTTCAGCCCATCCCTATATATAAATTCCTTTATAGGAGGTACTTTTTCATAAAAAGTGTCAATATGAATATATTCGTGCATGTTTGCTTGTTCATCAGTGTTTTTAGAATCTATTCAGATATATAGGTATATAAATTCCTTGTAACTGTTGTGTGTCCTGTTTCATCACCTGCACAGATCATCTTTGATTTTGCCTTTCCCCTGTGGATGGACATTTAGGATGTACCTGAAGTTCCTCTGTTATAAGCAATGCAGCAATAATAATCCCCTGCCCAGCTGGAGGGCCATAAGGCAGCAATCCGCTACGGGGGGGGGGGGGGGGGGGGGGGGTGACGTCTATCCATGCCTTTGTTTAGAATTTCTATTGAATGGTGTTAATTGGCAGAAGACATGCATTTACTCAGTAACTGCTTTTGAATTCCACCTAATGCACCCCTTACTGCCTTCAGGAATGGACTGCTCCCTCCTTCCTCCTCTGTCTTCCTGGTAGATACTGAAAAGTGGAATTATATCTCAGTGTTCATGAGCGCTGCCCCATGTTTGTTGCAAACCATTCCAAAGCTGATTTTTTTTTTTAAGATTTTATTTATTTGACAGAGAGAGAGAGCACAAGCAAAGGGAGTGGCAGGCAGAGGCAGAGGGAGAAGCAGGCTCCCTGCAGAGCAGGGGGTGCCCGATGCGGGGCTCAATCCCAGGACCCTGGGACCATGACCTGAGCCGAAAGGCAGTCGCTTAACCAACTGAGCCACCCAGGCGTCCCAAAGCTGATTTCTTCCATCAGCCTTTAAAACACCTTTACATTTGATTTTCTTCATCTTCTCCCCCCTGGCCACCTCAGTCTCCTGTGAACTCTCTCTCCCTCTACCTAGCCCTCAGATGGGACTGTCCACAGATTTCTGAGCCCAGCTCTCTGATATCATCCAGTAGCTCCAGTATAGGTCGGTGAATCCAGCCCATATCTGACTCCCAAGTCCACACCCTGGACCTCTCCCTGTGAATCCTGGATGGGCCCAGGGTATCTCTGTTTACAGAGATAGATACAGAGCTAGAGGTCAGTGATTCATCAGTCTTATATAATACCCAGTGCTCACTACATCACGTGCCCTCCTGACTGTCCATCACCCCGTTATCCTATCCCTCCACCCTCCACCCCTCCAGCAACCCTCCATTTATTTCCTATGATTAAGAATCTCTTGGGCGCCCAGGTGGCTCAGATGGTTGAGCGTCTGCCTTCGGCTCAGGTCATGATCCCAGACTCCTGGGATCGGGTCCCGCATCGGGCTCCCTGCTCCTTGGGAGCCTGCTTCTCCCTCTGCCTCTCTCTCTCTCTCTGTCTCTGTCTCTCATGAATAAAATAAAATCTTAAAAAAAAAAAAAAAGAATCTCTTGGGACACCTGGGGGGCTTAATTGGTTAAGCATCTGCCTTTGGCTCAGGTCATGATCCCAGGGTCATGGGATTGAGCCCCATGTCAGGCTCCCCACTCAGCAGGCAGCCTGCTTCTCCCTCTTTCTCTCAAATAAATAAATAAAACTTTTTTTTTTTTAAAAAAGTCTCTTATGGTTTGTCTCCCTCTCTTTGTCTTGTTTTATTTTTCCCCCCTTCTCCCATGATCCTGTTTTGTTTCTTAAATTCAACTTATGAGATCGTATGATAATTGTCTTTCTGATTGACTTATTTTGCTTAGCATAATACCTTCTAGTTCCATTCACGTCGTTGCAAATGGCAAGATTTCATTTTTTCTGATGGCTGAGTAGTATTCCATCGTATATATGAACCACATCTTCTTTATCCATTCATCAGTCGATGGACATCTGAGCTCTTTCCATAGTTTGGCTATTGTGGACTTTGCTGCTGTAAGCATTGTGGTGTATGTGCCCCTTCGGATCACTACATTTGTATATTTAGGATAAATACCCAGTAGTGCAATTGCTGGGTCATAGGGTACCTCTATTTTCAACTTTTTGAGGAACCTCCATACTGTTTTCCAGAGTGGCTACACCAGCTTGCATTCCCACCAACAGTGTAAGAGGGTTCCCCTTTCTCTGCATCCCCGCCAACATCTGTCGTTTCCTAACTTATTAGTTTTAGCCATTCTGACTGGTGTAAGGTGGTATCTCGTTGTGGTTTTGATTTGTATTTCCCTCATGCCGAGTGATACTGAGCATTTTTTCATGTGTCTATTGGCCATTTGATTGTCTTCTTTGGAGAAATATCTGTTCATGTCTTCTGCCCACTTCTTGATTGGATGATTTCTCCTTTGGGTGTTGAGTTTGATAAGTTCTTTATAGATTTTGGACACTAGCCCTTTATCTGATAAGACATTTACAAATACCTTCTCCCATTTGGTCAGTTGTCTTTTGGTTCGGTCAACTGTTTCCTTTGCTGTGCAAAAGCTTTTTATCTTGATGAAGTCCCAATAGTTCATTTTTGCTTTTGTTTCCCTTGCCTTTGGAGACGGGTCTAGCAAGAATTTGCTGTGGCCCAGGTCGAAGAGGTTGCTGCCTGTGTTCTGCTCTAGGATTTTGATGGATTCCTGTCTCACATTGAGGTCTTTCATCCATTTTGAGTCTATTTTTGTGTATGGTGTAAGGAAATGGTCCAGTTTCATTCTTCTGCATGGGGCTGTCCAATTTTCCCAACACCGTTTGTTGAAGAGATGGTCTTTTTTCCATTGGATATTCTTTCCTGCTTTGTGTGACTTAGGTTCTTGTTTGTAGCTTTAAAAACAAGTCCACAATTCTCCACCGGAAGGGCCATCTTCTAGCCCAGGCCACGTTCCCTCCTACCTAGGTCACCCACACAATCTCCTAGCCAGCTTCCTGCCCCTGACTTGCTTGCGAACTTCGTCCATTGTCCCCCCTGTCTCCAGAGCTTCCTTCCAGACCACACAGCTGACTGCACCAGTCAACCCTCTCCATTTGAGCATGGAGTCCTTATGATCTCGTTTCCACTCTCCTACCCAGCATTGTCTTCCCCCGTCTCCCCTGGTTCTAAGCTCCAGCTGCAGATAACCAGAGAGGCCCCCCCAAGTTATGACTTCTCTAGGCACCCTCCTTCCCTCAACCTACAACACCCTGCAGACCCTCTTTGTCAGCTCCTCCCCGTCCTTCCTGTCCCTCTTAGAGACAGCGTCCTCTAGGGAGCCCTCCCAGAGCCCTCCCCATCCTGTCCAGAGAGTAGGTTAAGATCCGAATGTAGGGTCCTTGAGGTCTGTTAGAGGCTGACCAGGAGTCACTGGGGGTTGGCTGGGGACCATTGGGGATTGGCTAGAAGCCTTTGAGGGCTGGCTGGAGACGGTTGGGAATTGGCAGGAGGACTTTGGGACTGGCTGGGGGCCATTGGGGATTGGCTGGAGGCCTTTGGGGGCGTTCCGCCGGGGATTGGCCAGGATATTGGGATTGGCTAGATTCCCTTGAGGGCTGACTGCGTGCCGTTAGGGATTGGCTGGGAACCGGTGGAGATTGGCCAGGGTCCGTTGGGATTGGCTGGATTCCCTTGGGGGCTGACTGGGTGCCTTTGGGGAGCTGGCTGGGGGCCGTTGGGGATTGTCCGGGGATCTTGGGCCGCGGGCAGTTGCTGCGAGCGCTGAGGGAGGGAGGCCGGGCTTACACCCAGGGTGGGTCTCCTGAGACAAACAGGGCTGGAGGGTGGGGACCCCCGCCCGCTGGCGCCCTGGACCCGGAGTGAGGAGGAATCCAACGGGAGGGCCCAGCCGCCGAGGCCCCGGGCGGATGAGGGAGCACTGCGGCGCCCCGGAGCAGCCTGCTGGGACCGGCCCTCTGCGGGCAGCCGGGCGAGGGCGCCCCCGCGGCGAGGAGCAGGTGTCTTGGGGCGGGGAGGCCGAGCCCCCTGGCGAGTCGTCCGGGGAGTCGGGACCGCGCGGCCCTCAGCTCGCCGGCAAGTCCCCGGTGGCAACTGCCCGGAGCCCAGAGGCGCCCGGCGCCCGCCCGCTGCACCCGCGGGAGCGGCGAGGGATGTGGGACTGCGTTCAGTTTCCCGTCTTCCTGTGCCTCTTTCCCGACCTGTTTGAGCACAGGCTCCAATTTTAGAGGCTGTGGAAGGGAGAGCTTAGCCCAGGCCTGCTAGCAGGGCCTTTACCTGCCACGGGCTCTTGCCACTTCTGGCTAAGGGTGAGTGCGCGGGAGGTCTCGCCGCCGCCCTGCCAAGTGCTCACTCACTGGCTGTGCGCTAGTGGCTGAAACACTGATCGCCAGGGCTGACGTCGGTGACTTAGATCTTGTAAAGCCCTGAGCTGTCCTGACCCCCAAGACGCAACTCCGGAGGGAAGATTTCTCCATGTCAGGCTTAGATTAGATTTGTCCGCT